CCTGTAATCCCCAGAAATACATACATTTAACATCCTCCAGATCCTTTTCTATGGTTATTTTCTTATATTTTGCAATTCTACTTTACCCACCAACGTGTTTTAAGACAGAAATGCATCTCTTGCTACCTGAAGCCTTTCATTTAACCATTTATACTTTTCAAAGTATTTTATGTGGTAGTCTCCACTGAGACCCAGAAACTGCCAGGAAGAAGGAACAGTGGCTTCTACTCTGTGCCTGGCAAGTGTGCTTAAGTGCTTTACTTGGCGCTTTTTCTTTTTTTCAATTCAATATAAAAAGATTTATTAAGAAGTCATTCTCCCACCCACATCCTCTTCTACCCTGTGACCCTCACCTTTCATATCCAGTTTTACTAGTTTCTAATGTATCCTTCCAGTGTTTCTTTATGCAGATAGTAGCAAACATGAATATATGTTATTTCCCCCTTTCTTACACAAAAAGAGGATACTATGCGTACTGTTTGGCATCTCACTCTATTCACACAGTATACCCTGGAGACATATTCTACATTAGTACTTGGCCCTTGCTTTTGATTCTTACACCAACTCCATAATATAGGCAGCAGTTACTATGCCCTTTCTACACATAAGGAGGCTGAGACTCAGACAAGTTAAGTGACTTGCTCATGCAGTTTATTAGTAAAGAACTTGGATGCCTACCCATTTAATCTGATTTCTCATCTAGAGAATATTGTGCCACACCCTATGCCTTTCCTGTATTGAGAAGTGGATTTTTAGATGAAAATATTCTTTGAGACATATAAAACTGTTGAGTGAGGACATAGTGCTTCTTTGGATTATTAAGAGGTATTTCTTTTAGTTTTTGACCAGGAGTTGGCATTCTGTGGCCCACTGGCTGAATCTAGCCTTCTTCCTCTTTTTGTAAATAAAGTTTTATTGGAACATGGACCCACCCAAGTCATTTACATATTGCAGCACAGACCATATGACCTGCAAAGCCTAAAATATTTACCATCTGGCTCTTTACAAAAATGTTTGCTGACACCTGTTGTGGACACCAAGTTTTATTTAGGTGTGTAAATTTTTTTTTTTTTTGTAGCTTCTAAGGTTTTGCATTCGTTTGCTCAGGCACATTGGTTGGTGGAAGTGCTTTCTTTCCTTTACTTCCCCCAAACTAATCAAACAGGCGTATCACTTCTTGCTTGAGTTTCTCTGTGATCCTGTATAGTGACTGAGTTCCTACACAGTCATTTTCAGGTAGAGTGAATTGCAAACTATTCCAAAACTTTTGCTACTGTTAATGTTCGTACAAAACTGGTGTACGTTCTGATGATGGTTTGTGCATTGCACCCTATGGTGATAGTTTATGTTAAAGTGCAAGAAGGGATTATCAGCACAAAGCCTGATCCTAATCAGCAGCACCCTGAGACTTCTTGCATGGGGGTGTTGTGGGAGTGTGTAGATTTATATAATTGAGACAGTTGCACTAAAATTGGTTGACTCTTGTTTTGACATAAAGTGAACGTGTGACATTTATACAATAGCAAACTATTAAATTTGGTTTTCCTTTGAGCATTTTGAAATAAAATGCAAAATGTGGAAAGAATAAAAATACTTAATTACTGTGCTTGTAATTATTTCACACCCCCTGAATTTATGACTCCTCGGAACTGTAGCAGGTTACTACTGAGTGGCAGAGTTGGTGAACATACTTAAAATCACATCATTTAAATCTTTGAGTTTTGATAGTTCCTTTTCTTCATGGTCTCTTTCAAATGGCATGCAGCCTTTACTGTCCCACTGTGTCTGTCACATGTTGTGCTTGTGTTACATGGAAGCAACCCAGTGAACTTGTGCAAGGTCACTCACTAGTTAGTTATTGGGTAAGGAAGAAATTCCAGGGTTTTCTCTCTTAAAATTCCTTAATGAAATGATTGGATGGACATAGTGCATTTCTTTAATTTTCCATTTGGGAAAGCTTGATAAAAATTCTGTTGGCAAAGCAAAGAGTCCAGTGATCTCCAAATTGGTCTTGGTGTATACGTTGATTTTTAAGTGCATTTACTTTGACCCAAAAGACTGCCTTCCTGTAATATGCTCCTTTTTGTGGAACACAGCTCTCAAGTAAGTAAAGTAAGTTTGTTTAAATGTGTGAAATAAGTTGAGGCATTTTACGTAGCAAGTTTTCGATGGTTTAGCATCGCAACTCTGAGTTTTCAGTTTTAGGACCAGTTTGAGGGTCTTTCATCTATTATCTGTATTACTAGCTTTCTTAATCTCTTTGATTTTTTGGGTAAAAGTCACCTCACAGAGGCCTCCCCTCAGCACCATATTTAAAACTGTATCCTACTCATTTCCTGTTCCCTCTTCCCTGTTTTATTTTTCTCAATAGCACTCACTAATCACTCTCTGAAAACCGTTTATTTTAATGCTTTATTCATCTGTGTTACTCCTAGAATAAGCTCTGTGAAGCTTCTGTACTCTCAGTGCCTTGAGTACGGTGCCTGGCACATGGGAGACGCCCAGTGACAGTTGAATTAACAAAGTCAAAGAGAGTCTGTATTGCTTGTAGAATGAGGGCTAGACGTAGGGCAAGTCAATTTGTGGCGTCAGACGGGGTTTGAAACTGGGTTCTCCCACCTCTTGATGTTGATATTAAATAATTTAATCATTGAAAGAACTTTTCCCTCCCAATGAAATGGGAGAAAATAATATCTTTTTATGGGGATTAAAAATTATATTGGATATAAAGCTCTATAGATGTTAGTCCTCGCTTTCCCCTGGTGTGTCAGCATTGAAGAAGCCTAAAGGCAATGTGAAGTTACCAATCCTATGCTTCTGGGGTCATTACCTCGATGACTTTTGACTGATGTATTCTTTCAACGGCTGTGTTGCCAACACAACAATGACCTGTGCCTTTGACCAGTGTGAGTGGACAGACACTTTGTCGTCCCTCTTTAATCCTCATATCAGAATAACTTGTATGGGTTTGGCCTTGAAATAAGTTTAGGCAAGTTCATGATTGCAGACAGTTCAGATGGCATCAGCCCTTAGAGCCAAGTGAGTTTCACCAGATCTTTCGTCAAATGCAGTGGGAACATCAGATAAGTTGATGTTTGTGGTCCTTATACACGTCATTCTAGGTTTTTTGGCAAATCAAGAAGCATCAGAGGGCTGTTAAGTCACTAGTTTGTCTCTGTGGATTTCTCCAAACCTTATGGATTACAAAGTGTTAATTCCTGTTTTGGTTTCCCCTGATATTTCTTCTGCTTTGGGATGACAGGAACACTTCAGAAGTTAGTTAAGGCAAATTGGTTCAGAAATTTATAGGTTCTTTTAGTCTTTTGTCCCAGGTAAGTCTGAATAGGACCTGGAAAGCTGATTAAAAGACCAGTGAGCACAGGGAGCTTAATTTTAAATTAAATGGATATTTAATGCGTTGAGAAAGCACTCAATCTTCAGTCTTTCTTTTTTTAATCTATGCTTGCTATTTGCATCTGATGGCCAGGAAATCTCTATTTTTCTACTAAAAGCATTGGTTATTGCTACATTTCTCAAGCTTGGTTTTCAGTGTGGATTTTTGCGGGTGATTTTTAGCACCTATGGGTACAAAACCATTAAATGAAGGCCGGCAGAAAGGAAAGAGTGCCCTGAGCTGGGAAGTCTCTTACAATCCTCTGGTAGACCAGAGGATGAACGGGGCAGGCAGGGAGGTGGTCAGTCACTGCGGGGGCTTCCTGGCTGTGAGCATGTCTTCCAGCAGAACACAGTGAAACCCGTGGCCTGCTGGTTGGAGGTGATTGTGCTTAGGAGCCTGGTTATAGATTTTTTTTTCCACAGGTGTGTGTTAACTGTTTTTTTTTTTGGGTGAGCCTTGATCCTCAGACACACACAGCCTGACCAAACTGGCAGATTTGTGAGAATTTTAATATTGAGAGGATTCTGTTATTGGAGTTATGCACGGTTGCTAAGGCATTGCTTTTCATTCTAAAATTTGGTCTTGGATAACCTCCGGTTTATGCTGTTGGGATTTCAGTTAATTGTTACGCTTTTGTGATCTGGTCTGGTATAATACCACATATGAGATTTTATCTTTTTTTGCATGTATGAATGACATTCCTGTACTGTTGTTTTTTATATTGCTGGATAATAATTTAATCCAGTCCCCTATCATGGGTAAGACACTTGAAGTTGACTATAATGAAATCACTTGGGTCTGCTTCTCTGACTCTTGTGAAGATGGGATCAGCTTATTCTCAAATTCATTGTATTTGGCAAAAGACCTGCCCTTCTGAAGTACACAATACTGGACGATGATCATTTTGGCTTAGAGGAAATCCTGGTCAAATTACCAAGTTAAACTTTTAAGAACATGCTATTCTCAATATTCACAAATGTATTATGTAATGCTGGAAGTCTCCTCTAAAGTTCTTCCTAAGATTTTTGTGAGAATTCATTTAGTGCAGGTAACCACAGGGAATCCAGCTATTAATTTTGAGGAAAGTGACAACTTCTAGCTGTTGGAGGCCAGCAGTAGCCCCCCTTCTCTGAGAGGAGGGTTGAGAGGAAGAGGGCTCTCTAGTGGTCTGCCGAACCCTTCTACCCTAAGCGCCCCAGTGAGACTGGGGGGAATCCCTGGTTAGGTAGCATTATGTGAGTTTGGGGGATTATGTAAAAGTATAACTGCACACACACTGTTCTTGCTTTGGTAACTGATTTTAATATCCTGTTGGTTTTGTTGTTGAAACTTCTTCTATGACAGTGAAGCCTTTTGTCTTTATTTTTCAATCAGAAAATCTTTCTCCCCACTTGAAAGGATGGAATCGGGGCTACAAGGCATTCTGCAATCTTTGACCTTCTTGCCTCCCCAAACCTCTAAGGAAAGCCGGGCATCCAGTAATCTCAGACTTGTGATTGTGCTTTTGTAACCTTGCTTGACATCTAGGACTTTTGGAGGGTTTTAGATTTTTGATGATAATTCTTAATTTTATTCTCATTTATTTCTCCCTTTTCTGTTTCAGTGTCCTGGGTCATGAAACTTAATCCACAACAAGCTCCATTGTATGTGAGTAAATCGCAAGATTTCATTTTATACTTAACTTTTGCTGTTTAATTCTTATCATAAACTCAAAAAATGCTCTCATGTGATTATCAAAGGAATTTTTAACCGTCTACACATGAATTTATTGGCATAATACACTTAAATTGAATTTGATTTAGTAAATATTAAATGATAATAATGCATGGTACTGAGCTCAGAACAAATAATGCTCGTAAGACTTGTGAGATAGACTGATCGTGGTGATAAGATGCGTGTATAAAATAATTGCATTGCCCTGCCAAATGATACTCCGGCTTATTTTTACGTACAGTGCATTTCTGTAAAAGTAGTATGTAGAGCTTCCTACTGCCATGGTCAGTTACCCTGTGCCACAACTAGGTGGCACTCTTTCATTGGCAAAAGTGCTATTTACTTTAAGAATCTGGGTGAAAGCTGATGTATCATCTCCCTGAAGTGAGGGAATTATAAGATGAAATGGATAAATGAATGAATCGAGGCTGGAAAAACTAAATTCTAGGTGTGTGTGTGTGTGTGTTTTTTTTTTAAATGTTGTAAGAGTGAATTATCTGAATCAGAGTGGTGAAAAGTGCCTGTTTGGTGAGGAGCTGGCTTAGAGGTATGGATAGTTATACTTGTGAGAGGCTGGAGGGTTTGGGGTTGGTATGGTCTGGAGATGTGAAAAAACCTTTTTTGATGGGACAGGATTTCAGTCAGGTCTTGAAGATTAAGGATCATTTCGTTGGCTGAAAAATCCTCAGAATTTGTGCAAGACACAGACCAGATGGTAGAGGGATGAGTGGCAGTGAGCATGTTCAGTGAGCGGGGAAGGATGGTAGTGGAAAGTCTGGCCCTGCTGAATTTGTGTTGGGGGTGATGGGAGATAAGTCTGAAGAGGTGGGTGACGCTTAGTTGTGAAAGCACACAAGAAGGTGCACGGAGTTTATTTTGTGACCGCTGAGGAGCTTTTAATGGTGTTTAAACAGGCTGTTCATTTTCTGTATTTATTTTTAACCATGCCGTGTTAATTAAAGTCATATACCTTTCTATCATACAGCATTCATGTGATCATGCTCCATAGTTTATCTCTATGTTAAATGTAACATACAAAGAAAAATATATGTGTTCTTAGAAGATATTTTATGTTCACATTTTCTTTCCAGACTACTTGGAGACAATTTATTATGTTCACCAGTGGGTTTGCACATGAATTGAATACCTTGGACTTAAGAAAACAACTTTATTTTTTGGTTTGGTTTTTAAAGTCCTTTTTTAAAAAAATATTTATATTTATTTATTCATTTGGTTGCACCGGGTCTTAGTTGCGGCAGGTGGGCTTCTTAGTTGTGGCATGAGAACTCTCAGTTGTGGCATGCATGTGGGATCTAGTTCCCTGACCAGGGATTGAACCCGGGCATTGGGAGCGCGGAGTCTTAACCACTGCATCACTGGAGAAGTCCCGAACAACTTTATTGAGATAAAATTCACACACCATAAAATCCACTCATTTATGGTTTTTAGTATATTCACAGTTGTGTTATCTTAACTTCAGAACATTTTTATCATCCCCAAAGAAACTCCGCACCCTTTAGCAGCCACTCATCAATGCCCCCTCCTCCAGCCCATGGCACCCACTATCTACTTTCTGTCTTTATGGTTTTACCTGTTCTGGAAATTTCGTATAAATGGAGTCATGCAGTACCTGGCCTTTTATGACTGGTTTCTTTCACTTAGCATCATGTATATAAGGTATATGTTAGAGTGTAAGTATAAGTACTTTGTTCCTTTTTATTGACAAATAATATTCCATTATATGGACCTACTGCATTTTATTTACCCACTCCTCAGCTGATGGGTATTTAGGCTGTTTCCACTTTTTGGCTATTCTGAATAATGCTGCTGTGAACAGCAATCTTTTTGGTACTCCTCCAATTTTATTCTTTCCCCGTTGAATTTTCTGGGGCACCTTTGTTGAAAATCAATTGATTATAAATGTAAGGAGTTACTTCTGGACACTCAATTCTGTTCCTTTCATTTAGGTCATCCTTCGTTAGGTCAGTTTCTTTCAGCAGTGATTTATATCGGTAGTTTTCAGTGTACATGCCTTTTATTTTTGTGAATTTATTCCTAAGTATTTTATCCTTTTTGATGCTATTGTGAATGATATTTTCTTAATTTCATTTTTAGGTGGCTCATTGCTAGTATATAAATACAACTGATTTTTGTGCATTGATCTTTTAATCTACAACCTTGCTGAACTCGTTTATTAGCTAGTACTTTTTTAGTGGATTCCTTAGGATTTTCTACGTCCAAGATGATGAAAATAGTTTTTTTCCTTGCCAGTCTTTTTATTTTATTTCTTTTTCTTGCCTAGTTGCCCTGAGTAGAACCTCCAATGCAGAGTTGAATAAAAGTGGTGAGAGCAGACATCCTTGTCTTGTTTTTGATCTTAAAGGGAAAGCATCTGGTCTTTCACCATTAAGATTAGTATGATGTTGCTAGCTGTGGGTTTTCATAGATGCCTTTATCGGGTTGAGGAAGTTCCCTTCTGTTCCTAATTTGAGTATTCATATCGTGAAAAAATGTTGGATTTTGTTGAACGTTTTCTCTGCCTATTGAGATGATTGTGTGGGTTTTTTCTTTCATTCCATTACTGAGTTACATTGATTGATTTTTGAATGTTAAACCAACCTTGCATTCCTGGGATTAATCTCATTTGGTCATGGTGTATAATCCTTTTTGTGTGTTGCTAGATTTGGTTTGCTAGTATTTTGTTGAGGATTTTTGTGTCTTTGTATAAAAGATATATTCTGTAGTTTTCTTCTGATGTCTCTGTCTGCTTTTGGCCATTGAAAGCGTTTGATCAGGGGGCTGATGTAACTACGTAGTTGTGGTAGGTAGAATAATGGTTCCTCAAGTGAGTCTATGTCTTAATCCCCAGAACCTGTGAATGCTTATCTCACATGGCAAAAGGGACTTCACAGATTTCATTAAGCTGAGGATCTTGAAACTGGAGATTGTCCTTTAATTATATGGGTAGCCCAGTGTAATCATAAAGATTCCTGTAAGTGAGAGAGGGAGTCAGAGGGAGATTTGTAGATGCCACGCTGCTGGCTTTGAAAAAGGAGGAAGGGTCCATGAGCCAAGGAATGCCACCTCTAGAAGCTGGGAAAAGCCAGGGAACAGTTTTTCCTCAGAGCCTCTGGAAGGAACACAGACGTCTTTATTTTAGTCCCGTGAAAGTCGTTCAGGCCTCTGACCTTCAGAACTGTAAGCTAATAAAATTTGTGTTTTTTTAAGCCTCTGAGTTTGTGGTAATTTGTTGTAACAACAATAGAAAGCTAATACAGTAGTAGTTTGGGAAAATTAATTGGTGGTAGTGTGCTGGATAATTTAGAAGGAGAGAGTAGAGGCAGAGAGATCAGTTAGAAGTTTTCTGAACTTTTCATCATGGAATTTGAGAACTTTAGAGTTAATAGAGACTTCAGATAATACCTGCTTCAACCTCTCCGTTTTAGAGATGAGGAAATGAGTTCTGAAGATAGTGTGATAAGGTCACACAGCTCATCGATGATGGTAGATTGTGATTTAAATCTGTATTTTCTGGGCTTGGTCATAGAAACCACTGTAAAGCTTATGAAGCTTAAAAAAGCTTCGTTCTGTTAGGGAAGCAAGGTTCTTAGACATCCTTTCTGGGGAATATACTTAATAAAGTAGTGCTTTATATATGATTTATGTGTTTAATGAAGTTGGGCAGGCTCTACTGGGGAAGACTATTTTAAATTTCAGATTTCAAATATGTCGATCAGCAGTAATACTTATTGAGGCAATTGTTTATCCCTTTTTAAAGAGTGACAGTGTACTCCATTTTCAGTGAACTAAGCCAAGTCTCAGGGATTTACACTGTTTGGGTGAAGAAAAGTGTAGTAGTTTCCCCCTTATTCATGGTTTCACTTTCTGTGGTTTCAATTACCTGCAGTCACCATGGACTGATAATATTACACATGGAAAATTCCAGAAATAAACAATTCATTAATTTTATTTATTTATTTTTGGCCATGCTATGCAGCATTCAGGATCTTAGTTCCCTAACCAGGGAACGAGCCTGTGCCCCCTGCAGTGGAAGTGTGGAGTCTTAAACCACTGGACTGCCAGGGAAGTCCCACAATGCATACATTTTAAATTGTGCACTGCTCCGAGTAGCATGGTGGAATCTCACACCATCCTGCTCCGTCCTGTAGGGGATGTATTTAAATCATCCCTTTGTCCAGCGCGTCCTGCCTGCTAGACACTTAGTATCCGTCTGGGTTATCATATCAACTGTCGCAGTATCTCAGTGCTGTGTGCAAGTGACCCTTATTTTACTTAAAGGCCCCAAAGTGCAAGAGTAGTGATGCTGGCAATTCAGATATGCCAAAGAGAAGCCATGAAGTGCTTCCTTAAGTGAAAACGTGAAGGTTCTTGACTTAATAATGAAAGAAAAAAATTTGTTTGCTGAGGTTGCTAAGATCTATGGTAAGAATGAGTCTTCTATCCATGAAATTGTGAGGAAGGAAAAACAGATTTCATGCTGGTTTTGCTTTCACACTTCAGACTGCAAAAGTTACAGGCACAGTATGTGATAAGTTCTTTTGTTAAGATGGAAAAGGCATTAAATTTGTACAATAAGATATTCTGAGAGAGAGGGTGGGAGAGACCACATTCACATCACTTTTACAGTGTATAATGGTTATTGTTCTATTTTGTTATTAGTTACTGTTGTTCATCTCTTTACTCTGCCTAATTTATAAATTAAACTTTATCACAGGTGTGTGTGTATAGGAAAAAATGTATATGGGGTTAGTACTGTCCATGGTTTCAGACATCCACTGGGGGTGAATGTACCCCCCTGAGGATGGGGGCACTACTGTAACTGTACAGGACAGTCCGTTGGTAAGGGGGTCAATTCTCTGCACCTAGAGAAAGAAGTACTAAGCAAAAGAATAGAGTGTGTTGAAGTTTTTCTT